ATTTTGGGTAGCCAATGTCCAAGTTGCCCAGCCCTGTCTACTCTATGTATGGAGGGGGTAGGAGTGATCCTCACTGTAAAGATTTGTTCCCTCTTTTGAGCTATTGCATCCATAGGTGTAGGTCAAGTTCATCAAATTGTATTAGATTATTCTTTTTTTCTTCTTCTCGTTGAGCTCTGAATAAGATCAACTTTTGCAGCATGTTCATCTATTTAGGTTTCTCTGTTTCCTCATAATTGTTCTTGTTACTTGTTGTCCAGTTAATTCCAGAGTAGAACTGCTCCATAGGGTTTTCAATGCTGTGACCTTTGTATTCTTAGATGCCTGTTGTTGTTAAGTGCTGTCAAGTTAGTTCTGACCCATAGCGTCCTGTCTATGGTTTCTAAGGAGCAGCTGGTGAGTAACTGTTAACCTTGCATTTATTTAGCAGCCCAGTGCTTAATCCTGCAGCACCACACCAGGACTCCTTAAATGCCTCTTGCAGTTAGGTGCTGTGTAGTCAGTTCTGACTCATAATGCCCTGTGTAGGATTTCTGAGGAGTGGCTTTGGGTTTGAACCGCCAACCTTGCGGTTCAAATCAACCTTTTGGTCCAGTGGTTATCTTATAGCACTATACCAGGACTCCCAGATGCCTCTGGGTAAGTTCAGTCATTCAACTTTTCGACTAGTAGCTGAGTGCTTAACTGTCTGTTCATTCAAGGATTCCTTCATCGTGATTAGAGTCAGATTAAACACTTTTGGCAGATGATAACAGGTGATACATTTCAGTTTGTCTTTTAAATCATTTCTCTAATTGTCCTAAAACACATGATTTTTAAAATTACTACATCAGAATTTATCAAATGGATGTACTGCAATTTATTTAACCATTAACCAGTTTCTGCCCTTTTACCCTGTAAGCAACTATTTGATATAATAAATATACTTTAGTAGAGAATTTGTAAATTTCCCATCTATGATCATTTCTTTAGTTGGAATTTTTACATGTGGAATTACTAGATTAAAGGGGCTAGTTTTTTGGGCTCTTGATACACATTTCAAAATTGACCTTATTGTTATTTTTAGTACCATCAAGTTGATTCTGACTCATAGCAATCCTATATAGAGTTTCTGAGGAGCAGGTGGTGGGTTTGAACTGCTGACCTTGTGGTTTGCAGTCCAGTGCTGACCCTACAGTGGGAGTGCAAAATTGACTGTGGGAATGTTTTTACTTGTTGATACACTTGCTAGAGTGTGAAGGACCTAAAAATGTTATTGTAAAATATAATTATGTACATATGTTATCTCTGAAATTCTAGGGTCATAGTCACCAAAAATGGAGTGTTAAATATGCTTTCTAATGCATTTTGGAAGTTTATTGTTTCTTGTGCAGAAATCTGAGTAAATTTTTTAAATGAGGAGATGATTTATTGCTTATAAAGGCCAGATGTTATAAAACTTTACTCATTTATATGTTTTAATTGCAGGTTTACAGTTGGTGTGATGCCTACGAACATACCAAACGTCACATCTTTTCACCAGTGTAGATTACTTCATACCACGTTGTCAAGAAAAGGACTAGAAGAATTTTTTGATGACCCAAAGAATTGGGGGGAAGAAAAAGTAAAATCTGGTGAGAGACATGAGTTGGTCAATATAAAATGTGTTTCTTGAACCCTCCCTCATTATGGGATTATTTTATTTATCTAGTATGGGAATTATTTATGCATTTTATCTTTCTGATTTTCCTTCTATAAGAAATTAAAAGGATAATCTAATAGTAAATTGTTCCTTGCCAGTGTAGTTGAAGGTTTGATAAGTATAGTTTGAACCTCATCAAGCTCACCAGCCACTCGTCGGAAACCCTGTACAGGGTTGCTATGGGTCAGAACCAACTCGAGGGCACTTTAACAACAACAACAACAACAATGATGAAATTAATAATGAAAGTGAGGCTTGTGAGTTTATTTTAGATGATATTTTCTAGAGATAATTGGAAATTAGTTTATAACTGATATAAAATAAAATGTTTGACATTACGGTGTAGAAATACATTTTATACTAACACTAACTTTTTTTTAGCACTGTTGCTAGTCACCTTAGTAATGTTTTTGTATGTATTCTTTTTTCATCCTTATAGCAATCTTATAAAGTAGTTAGCTATTATACATTCTAAAGATAAGTTAACTGAGGTTTAGAAAGGCTAAGTAATTTGCAAGAGGGTGCACAACTAGCAACATCATCTCATGTTGTGAATTTATTTAATTAGGAGCTTCATGGACATGTCAGCAGTTGCGGAACAAAAGTAATGAAGATTTGCATAAACTTTGGTATGTATAGTACGTGCATCGGCATCTAGGTGTTGGAAGCAGTTACTGTACAACAATGAGAAGGAACTTTGCATCTCTCTGATGTAAAGTGACTTTTCTGTAGATGATGTATAAAATGATTGAAGAGTTTATAAATAAAACAGAAGTTAGATTCCCTTTAGACAAATGTATTAGAGTAACCAACTAGTTGGGATTTTAGAAGTTGTACTATAACTGCTACCCATCTTACTAGCACCTTTGTATTAGTGATGTAGTAAAATTAACTAGTAAATGAAATAGGAAAACACTTGATTACATTCAAACCTCCCTCCTTTCCCTTACCTTCTGCATGGTCTGGAATCTGTAGCTTGTTTGTTTTCAGAGTATGTTTTGATTGAGAATTTAAGTAGATTTATCTGACGAGTAAGTTGGAGTTGAGAAGATTTAAGACAGGACTGGATTTTTAATTGATATAATTGACTAGTTAGTCCAAAGATATGTTTTGCTTGGACTACAACTTTGTTTTATAAATTAAGAAATCCCATACAAAAATAGGGATTTCTGGCTTCATTTGAGTAAATAAAACCAGTGATCTTGCAATGCTGGGCCTTCATTTCTACATGGTAACAATCGACTGGTACTGTATCCAGCTGCCGCTCCTAGATAAGACACTACACACCATTTTCTCTACCTATATTTTCTTTCACCAGGCTCACTTCACTCATAGTTGTTACCTGCCTAGGCACAATAGTAGGAATTTACCTTTTATCCCCTTATTTAAAAGATCATTTGCCTTTTAAGGAAGGTTAAAGAATTGTGAAGTGCTTTTAAAAGGACAACTTTTATAGGTTTATTTTTATTATAAAATAAGTTGTATTAAAGCACTGAGACTGGATTATCAGTAAAGGAATAGTTAAGACTGTTTCAGTATTTATTGTGGCTTAAATCAAACCATTTATTCTTCTGTCACTGCTTTTCCAAACTTGTGTTTTCCAGGAGTCCTGGTGTGGTGCTGTTGGATAAAGCACTGGACCGCAAGGTTAGTTTGAATCACAGGTCGGCGGTTCAAACCCACCAGCTGCTCCTCGGAAACTCTATACAGGATTGCTATGAGTTGGAACCGACTTGATGGCAACTAACAACTTTAACAACAGCAACTTA